ATGTGGTTTTTAGATCTGACTCTATTGATATAATGTATTACATTTATAGATTTGTGTATATTGAACCATCCTTGCATCCCTGGGATGAATCTTACCTGGTCATGGTGTATAATCTTCTTGATGATTTGCTGTATTCTGTTTGCTAGGATTTTATTGAGGATTTTTGCATCTATGTTCATGAGGGAGATAGGCCTATAGTTCTCTTTCTTAGTTGCATCTTTCCCTGGTTTTGCTATCAGTATAATACTTGCCTCCAGGAATGATTTTGGGAGGATTGCTTCTTTTTCAATTTCATGGATGAGTTTGAGGAATATAGGGATTATTTCTTCCATAAATTTCTTGTAGAATTCCACTGTGAATCCATCAGGATGTGAAGTTTTCTTTGTCGGTAGGTTTTTTTTTTTATTACATTTCGTATTTAATTGGCTGTTATTGGGTTATTGAGAGTTGTTATATCTTCTTGATTCAGTTTTGGCAATTTGTACCTTTCTATGAATCTTTCCATTTCTTCTGTGTCTTCTGTTGTGTGAGAGTAAAGGTTCTCAAAGTAGCTATTGACAATCTTCTGAATTTCCACTGGGTCTGTGGTAGTTACACTCTTTTCATTCCTTATTGCTTGTGTTTGAATTTTTTCTTTCCTCTTTTTGATGAGGTTAGCTAGGGGCTTATCGATTTTACTTAATCTTTCAAAGAACCAGCTTTTTGATTCATTAAGTCTTTGAATTATTTTGTCTCAGTTGAATAAATTTCTGCTCTAATCTTTATGATTTTTTCCTGTCTTTGGGCTCTGGGTTGGTTTGGTTTGCTCTTCCTTTTCTAGATGTTGGAGGTGCAATGTTAGGGTGTTTATTTGTTCCCGTTCTGTTTTCCTAATGTGTGAGTTCACAGCTATAAATTTCCCTTTGATAACTGCTTTCATCGTATCCCATAAATTCCAATAATTTGTGCTTGAATTTTTATTGAATTGTAGATATTGTTGAATTTCTTGTTTAATTTCATCTGTAACCCATTGATTGCTGAGTAGGGTGTTGTTTAATTTTCATGTATTTATGAGGTTTTTCTGTTTTCTTGTCTCGTTTATTTCCAGTTTCATTGCACTGTGGTCAGATAATGTGCATGGGATAATTTCTGTTTTCTTGCCTATACGTAAGCATGACCTATGGACCAGTATGTGGTCTATTTTAGAGAATAACCTGTTTGCAGCTGAAAAAAAATGTATGTTCATCTGTCGTTGGGTGAAACACTCTGCTTATGTCCACTAAGTCCATTTGTTCCAAGCTCTGGTTCAGTTCTGCTACTTCTTTGCTAATTTTTTGTCTGTTTGACCTATCTTTTTGGGATAAGGGGGTGTTAAGGTTTCCTGTTAATATTGTGGTATTGGATATTAGATTTTTCATGTCCATTAAGATTTGTCTTACATAGTTGGGTGCTCTCGTGTTTGGTGAGTATACCTTCATGAGTGTTACCTCTTCCTCTTGAATTTTCCCCTAACCAGTGTATAATGGCCTTCTTCATTTTGTTTGATCACTCTTAGTTTGAAGTTGAGACTGTCTAAGAACAGGATTGCTACCCCTGCTTTTTTCTGAGGTGCTGAGGAATGTAGTACTGTTTTTTAGCCTATGAATTTCTTCATGAGTTAAATGTGTTTCTTGTATACAACTGTCTTAGTTACTCTTCTCTCTTTGCTGGGACAAATACCCGACACTCAAAATGCAGAAAGGAAAGGCTTATTTAGCTCACAGTTACTGGAGGTTTCAGTCCATACTCAGCTGGGTCCAATGCAGAGCAGCACAGAGCAGCAAGCAACCTTTCATGGTGGCAGCAAAGAGCAAGAGTGCAAGGGAGGGGTAGCAGCAGCTCAAGCAGCTAGCTTCTCTTCCCACCTTACATTGTAATTGCAAATCACCTGACCCAGGGTAGGGGAAGTACTCACACCTATGGGTACTTCCCAGTACTTACCCACCTATGGGTAATCGCAGCAGTACTAAAACCCATAATCCCAGCCTTGGATCACACATAATCCCAGGGGATCATGAGTTAACACAAACTCTAGAAGTCCTCACCCCATGACTGCATGAGGCTTTGGGGGGACAACTAGACACAAACCATAACAACAGCATATTGTTGGACTTTGTTTCCTAATCCACTGTGCCAGTTTATGTCTTTTAATTGATGAACTGAGTCCATTTACATTGATGGTTATTTCTGAGATGTATCGATTTATGATTGACATGTTGTTTACCTGCTGTTGTTTAGTCCTTTTTCTCCTGTGTTTAATTGCTTGCCCTATTTAGTGAGTTCCTTCTGTTCTCCTTCATGGAGTTCTGATCATTTTGGTCCCTCTCTAGAACATCTTTAGTAGTTTGTGTAGGGTTGGCTTTGTCATCATGAAATTCTTTAGTTGTTCTTTGTCATGGAAATATTTCACTTCTCTATCAAAGTTGAATGAGAGTTTTGCAGAGTGTAGTAGTCTGGGCTGAAATTTGTTTTCATAGAGGACTTGAAGTACTCTGCTCCATGCTCTTCTCGCCTTCATGGTTTGTGAAGAGAAGTCTGTTGTTATTCTGATGGGTTTTCCTTTGAATGTGATCTGTTTCTTTTCTCTAGCAGTTTTCAGCGTATTATTCTTGTGCTGCATTTCTGGGATCTTGACTCTTACATGTCTCGGTGTGTTTTTAATTGGGTTGAGGTTCCTTGGCATTCTGTATGCTTCAGTTAGCTGAATATCAGATTGTTTCCTCATATTTGGGAAGCTTTCTGCTATTACTTCTGCCCATATTCTTTTTATATCATTTGTATTGACTCCTTCTTTCTGATTGATGTGTTAGTCTCACGTTCATCTTTGCATCATCTTGCAGGTGATGAAATATTTTTTTCTGCATTCTAGTTGTTTTTCAGAGATCTTTTCTTACCTTTTCACTAGCTGCACTAGCATCTTGAAGATCTGAAACTCTGTCTTTACTTTCACTCAAACAGTGTTGCAAGCTTGTGATTGAAATTTTAAGTTCCTCTATATCTCTTTGAATCTGCTTCAGGTGATCTTTTTTTTTCCTATATTGCTCATTCAAGGAATCCATTGCTTTTCTAATCTCGTCTATTTTTTTTATCAGTGTCTTCTTGAGAAGCAGTTATTAATTCTTTTACTTCAGAGATTATTTCTGATCTGATTTCCTCTATATGTCTCTGCATTTGATTCTTTACTTCAGATGCTGTTAATTCAGAGATATCTTTTATTTCAGAGATTAATTCTGTTTTTTTTTTTTTTTTTTTTTTTTTTTGTGTGTGGAACTGGGGATTGAACTCAGGCCCTTACACTTGCCAGGGAAGCACTTATTCTACTGAGCCATCTCCCCGGCCCCTCAGAGATTAATTCTGATCTAGTTCCTCTATACCTTTGTGCTGCTGTTTCTTTACTTCAGATAGTATTAATTCAGACATTTCAGCTGTGCTAGTGTCCTCTGCATTTGTTCTGTGTGGGCTCGGGACCTGAGATTGCATTTTGCTCCTTCTCTTTGTCATTTTGTTTAGCACTGTCCTCTAACCTTTGGTGTAGAGCTTTGGTGCAGTTATAACCTTAGCACCTACTAAAATTCTGGTGCAGATCTACTAAGTTTGAGTTCATCCAGTTGTGCCTGGCTTGGGTCTGGCTACTGTGCTCAGCTCCTTTCTGCTGCAGCAGCCCTTGGAGGTGAACGTGTTGCACCCCTCTGGCAAGATGTTCTGCTCCTGGATTAGCTGGGTGATTTTGGCCCCTAGTATCTCTGCAGGGACTTCAGCTGCAGAGTTTCACCTCAGGCCTGTATGTGAGGCCTGAGCTGGGTCTGGAGGGGTCTAGGGGGCACAGGAGAGCACAGAAGCTCTCCCACACAATCACTGGGCCTGGGCTTGGGTGGATCTGGAAGGGTCCCAAGAGCGTGGCAGAAGTTCTCACTCACAAGGCAGGCTTGGGGGCTCTGGAGAGGTGGAAGAGTCCCAAGAGCATGGACAGAGGTCTCACACGGCAGGCCTGCGCTTGTTCCGGAGAGGTCCAGTGGGTGCAGGTGAAAATTGGATTCTCAAGCAGCCAGCCCATCCCTCTCACCAGAAGCATGCACTCACTCACTCACTCAGCAAACCTTTCTTGAGACCACTGCATGCCAAGCGCTGGCCTGGGCCTGGGAATGTGCAAACAGGGTACCTTTGTGCAGGTGGCAATCTAGCTTTGCATGGGGGGGGGCACTTACATACAAAGCCTGCTGGTAGAGCTGGGTGTATAGAGACCCCCCATCCGCTGAGCTGTCAGCACGGTGTCCTGCTCAGATTCCAAATGGGTCAGGTAGATTCTGGTCACTCACATACTGTAAAGAACAAGAAGAAAGCACAGCCACGCACAGTGCGCAGTGCATTGGTGAGCTATACTTCCGCTATTCTTTTAAAATCCAATTTTATTTATTTATTCATTTATTCATTTATTTATTTGGTAGAGGGTTGCACTATGCAGCTTGGACTCAGGGATCCTCTTGTCTCAGCCTCCCCAGTGCTGGGATTACAGGTGTGCACCACCATGCCTAGTCTTGGTGGCCAGCATGGCATGTGGTACTGGGGGTCGAACCGAGGTCCTTGCACTTGCCAGGCAGGTGCTTAGACCACTGAGCTATTTCCTCAGCCCCTAAAATTCTATTTCTTTTTTTAAAAATAAAGGTATGTTTGTCATCTCACGTACCCAGGCCCTTAGCTGCGCTGGGCATCTATGAGGGGCTAACTGCAGGCTGCAGAACAGTGATGGGCCTAGAGGACCAGTTTTCAGGGAAAGCTTGGAAGGCCTCAAAGGGGAAGTGCTGAGTGTTAAATCTTTTAAAACTTCTCTTCCTGACTGTCCACTTTAGAGTCCGTGCTTGCCCCCAGGCCCCTTCTGTACCCTCGCTAACGCGCCCCAGCGGCCCCTGAGCGTCCCTCCTCTCTTTCCAGCTGTGGCCAGTGTCATCGATGAGAACGTCAGGCTGTGCAGGCGGCTGATCTTTGTTCTGGACCCCGAGCCGGGCTCCTCCAGCGCCGCCCTGCTGCAGAGCCTGTCCGAAGAGCAGATTGCGGTCTACAGCGCCCTCATCCGGGATGGGATGGAGGTGATCCTCATCGAGCTGGAGACGGTAGCGGACTACGGCGCGCTGCCCCAGTCCATCCAGTACATCCGGCAGAAGCATGGCGCCGTGCGGTGGCGCGAGGATGCCATGGCGCAGTCGCCGAGTGCCAAGACCAGGTTTTGGAAGGAAGTAAGGTACCGCATGCCCCCCAGGAGGTACCCGCCAGCTTCGCAGAGCCAGTCGCAGCGGTACACGCCCAGCACCTGCGCGGCAGGCAAGTGGCAACCCACAGCGGGCTCGCTCACCCACTGACCCTGCACGACCTTGGCTGGGGCTTCCCTGCCCGTCCATATGGCAGCGAGGACGAGGCCGCTTCCCCGGAGCCAGCCCTCTTGTGCTGTGTGAAGGCTTGTGTTTGTCGCTGTCACCTGTTCTGCTCAGCACCACTGCTTCTTAGAGACCGATAGCAGCTCTCTAGAGGCCCCGTGAGCCCTCGCGGATGCTGGGATGTTCAGTGAAGGGTCGGGGGACAGCAACTGAGGGCTGCAGAAAGGACGTCCCGGTGTCCACTGGCTCAGCCTCTGCTGTCCAAGATGGGGGCCTGGGCGTCCAGGGGCCAGGAGGACCGCGTGTGGCATGGGGAGGCTGCCAGCGAAGGCTGCACTGCGCTCGGGGCTCCAGTCCTCACTCAGTGTCTACTGTGCTTGAATCTCCTCCTTTCTCCAGGGCCAGGGAGTGGCTGTAGTCAGCATGGTGTCCCTGGAAGGCACTCCAATGTCACCTCTAGGGACCAAAGTGACCCACCGTGGTGTCACTGCCCTTGCATGGTGGCCTTGCACTCCATGGGCCATGAAGGATCCTGCTAGGCCACAACAAGCATGAACTTTTCCACCTCTCCTTTTGGTACTTGTGTCCACCGAATCAAGCGGTGAGTGTTGCTCACACCGGGGTGGCCTCTGCAAAAGTGGAGGGGTGTGAGTGTCCCCGACTCGTGAGTGCACGTGCATCGCAGGTCCAGCCCTGATGTAGCAGCTCGTCAGGCTTAGTGCTTTGTTAGCTGTCGGCCCTTAGCCAGGGCGAGCTCTTGAAGGGCCCTTCTGATCCGTGCCGGGCCATTTCCTTGCTGCCCCTCCCGCGTGGGCATCTTGGTATTTTTAGTGCACCTGCATTGTGACCATGACTGGGTCAGGAGTGAGATTTTCTGCTGCTGGTTTATCTGCGCTCAGAGAGCATCTGATCTGGGGGCGCTTCAGCCTTTCAAGCTGGGGATGCTTGATGTCTTCTGGGGTCTTTCGCATTTTGAGTTTCACATGAAGGACAATGTGGGGAGTCCCAGAGGGAGGGAGGAAGGAGGCAAGGGCCTGACGCCCATGGACAGCTGCTGCCTGTGAGAAGGCGGGGGAAGGCTGGGGGCGGGGAGGACACAGTGTGCCCCGACCTGACGCCGCCTTTTGTGACTCTGCGGATGCACACGGGGTGCAAGGCAGATGTATTTGGGAGCATTGTTCAAAGGGATGTGTGTACGGGTTCTGAGAAGATCATGGGTCCTTCTACAGGGCATGCAGTATCTGTTCCTTTATCCACAAAACCAAAAACCACCTGGAAGTTGAGGGAGGAGCCCCGGCAGGAAGAGGACCCCTGGCCTCTGCGCCTGGCTGCTGGCTCCTTTCTCCTTTTCCCTGCTTGCTTTGTTCAAGCAGCATGGGGGATTAGTAGAGGCCCACAGGCTCTTCCGATAGCCCGGCCTACAAGGACCCTGTCATCCAACTGCATGCAGAGAAGGCCCAGCTTCTCCCGGTTCCCAAGACAGTTGGACCTCCTCCAGAACACTGGACCCCAGCACAGGGCTGGCCCGACACCCTGAGCTGAGGTCTGCAGAGGGGGTGACCAAGGCAACCTGGACACAGCAGCAGGGCTGAGAGGTGCTTCTGGCCGTCCCCACCCAGGCTCTACTGCTGCCCCACCTTCCCCAAGGCTTTCAGTCGAGGCAGGAGCGCTGGCTAGGCTGCTTTGATGTGAGTCTGGGCCCAGGCTTGTGGCCTCTGTCTGTTGTCACAGCCCAGCGCCCAAAGGGTGGTCCACCTCTGTCCCCAGCCGCAGCACTTGTTCGCCATCCAGCCTAGGGGAGGGCAGCTCCCAAATTGTCCCCTAACTTCCTCTACCCACCCTTGTCCTTCTAAGCTGAAGGGAAGAGTCCCGCAATGTCCTCCCATCAGGAGGGGACGTGATAACACAGGCCCAAGCTATGGGCCTTTCTTAAAGCTATTTCCATTTTCGGTTTCCCTTTTAGCAAATTCCTCCTCCCTCTGGGGACAGACAGAAGACTGTGTGTGATTTCTGCCTAGATCCCTCTCCCCCACTCCTGGCCAGTTGTCTTTTAAAAACGAAGCACTCACAGAAGAACCTCAATGTAACTGCCCTGCGTGCACAGCCAGTGGCCCCATCTGAGTTGGGTGGAGGAGCTGGGCTGTGGGAAAGAGCTGTAGCCAGGCAGGGTGGGCGGGCTGGCCAGGGCAGTGAGCTCTACCGAGCGGGGGCTGAAATTCCTCCCCTGTCCAGCTCTCCGCCACCCGTGTCCCCTGCAGCAGTGACTCTGGTGCTTTCAAAGGCATTACATAGAGTGACTTTTTCATAGTGCCTGGGAGATCGCCACTTGAGGGAAATCAGCCTACGATGAACGTAAAGACCATGCTTGGGTATCCGGGTCACCTGTGGGGATGGTCTGAGTAGATGTGGAGCCCTGGGGACAATGGCTTGTCCTGGGCACTGTTACTTCTCTGTGTCAGTCCCCAGGTGTGTTTGTCTGAGCTCAGTGTCAAGTTCAGGACCTTCAGACCCTGCAGGAGAGCACCCCAGGTATAGGTCCCAAACCCACAGATGAGGTGAGACTGCACGCACTGTCTCCATGTGTCCTGCAGGGGGTGCCCTGGGCTTGCCCAACTAGTCCAAAGGACATTTAAGCTGCACAGCTTTGGACAATGAGCTTTGGCTCCCCGGCTCTGCCCTCCTCCTTGCCCTAGAAGTCTTAGAAGACATGAGTTGGGTGGGAAGTGTTCTGTAGACTTTTCTAGAGATGTACTGTTAAGGGAGGAAGAGTGTCACGTGACTCTTTGTCCGAGCAGCCACCCTTAGGTCAGGCATGTCCAGGGAGTGAAGCTGCAGACATCATGAACACACAGGAGCCCAGCCCGCTCCCCACCCCCAGTGCTGAGCCCCCTTCCTTCTGGCTTAAAGTTCCTGTTGTGGTGCTACGGCTCGATTGCATCACTTTTCAGTTGGCTTGAGGATTTGGCCTCACTCTGGGCTGTCAGATGCATCTCTGGATTGCAGGAAAACTCACTCAGCACCACACTTGCTGTAGGGCTCTCGGCTTCTTCTCCATGGGAGCTGCTTGGTGAGGCTCAAAGCTGTTCATGCCGGGAGCTTCCTCAGTGTGATCAGTGGGACATTAAGGGGTGGCCCTGAGGAAGTTCTGTCTGTCCCCAGGGTGCTGCTCTGGGATAGGATTGAGGTAGAGCTTGCAGCTCCGGAGCTTGCCAAGAGAGAGGTCTACTAGAACAAGCCAGACTCTGGCATTGCTCTCGGGCTGCTGGGTTCTGTGATAGCTGCTTGTCCCCCTTCTGTGCCATTGTTTCCAAGGAGCAGCTCGCAGAAGCAGAGCCGAGACTGCCGCCACACCCCTGAATCTGCAGAAGCTCGGGGAAACCTCCTCTTTGTAAAGTTACCCAGTCTCAGGCGTTTCATTACAGCAATGGAAGGCAGGCAAATGCAATATTTGATGTAAAGGTAGAATAAAGATCTTTTTAAAAAATGTATTGGGTTCGTTTATTATTTATTTATTTATTTATTTATTTATTTATTTATTTAAACAAGGTCTTACAGCATGGTGTATTTCAGGCTCGCCTTTGAATTCCCAGTGATTCTCCTGCCTCAGCTTCCCGAGTGCTGGGGTTACAGGAGTGTCCCACCACACCCAGCTCATGTAAAGGGCTTTAAAGGGAGATATTTAAAGATCATTCCATATAGATGTTTTAGATAATCCCATGGCTTTTCCATCATGAATTAAATTTTGTTTCATTCATTAATTAAATTTGGGGTACTGCTTCCCTTTTTGGGGAAGCAACAAGCTTGTGGGCATGGATTCCTGGGGCAGCAGGAAGAACTGGGCTCTATTTTAACTAGAACTAGACACTGGAATGGTTTGAGCTGGTGAAATCCATCTTTTGCTGTTCTTCCTAATTTAACCCTCCTGCCTCTCTTGTCCTTTTCTTGGCGCCTTCTTTCTTCTCTTTCTCTTTCTCCTTCCTTCCTTCTTCTCCCTTTTCTCTTCCCTTCCTTCCTTTCTCCTTGCTGCCTAATGCATACAGGATAAACCACACGAACATAACAGCGTTCTGCTGATGGTGTGACTCGCTGCTCCTGGCTGGGAAGCCCTGGCCTGCTGAGCCCCTGAGCACCGAGGCCGGGCACGGAGTCCCCTGGTGAAGCCTGGCTGCAGAGGAGGCCCAGAGGATTTCAGCGGAGGATGGCAAAGGCCAGGGGAAGGCCTGGGTGTGTCTCCTCCTCGCCTCCCCTCCCCTTCCTTCCCCTTCCCTTTTCTCTCCTCTCCTCTTGATTTCAGGTGGCTGCTTCCTGGAAGTGCACGGGGTGTCCGTGTCACACTGCTGGGCAGCATGGTGCATGTCCAGCTGGAGGGGCCGCCTGGCTGAGTGGCCTCTGAGGGCCGTCACTGACCGAAATGTCCTTGCACAACACAGGACGTGGGCCGGGCGTGAGTGGGAGAGTGTCAGGGAACAGCCCGGATTCCGAGCTCCTGACGAGGCTGGGCTGAGAGCGTGTGGTGTTTCCATGCGACTCTTCCGATTATGACTGTTTGAAAACTTGAACATGGAAAAATGAAATGAAAAAACTTCCACCAACTCAGCGTATTTCCATAAACATGTAATATTTTCATGCTTTATGATTTAACGTTTGGTAATAGAAACCCGTCTGTGCTATTATGTCACATTAGTATTTTCCTGACTCTTATTCATTCATTAAAATTTCTTCTGAGATTTTGATTTGAATTGCTTTGGATTTATGCTTTATTCTCCATGGTTGTGCCTCCCTAAACATGTCATCTCTTAACTCAGTATTTCGTTCATGCCTTTTAATATAATTTAATACTTTTTCATTAAGACCTAGAAGTAAGCTCCTTAAAAGATACCTCCTTAGCAGTTTATTTTGTTGTTATTGTTGTTCCTGAGATTCCCTCCCCTGCCCCAGTTTTCCTAATAGTTAATTCCTGGTGGATGGAACTCTGCTTGTTTTTGTATTTATATTTTACAACTGTCGAACTGGTATTACCTTTAATATTTTTAACAGGCTCAGTGGGCTTTTCTATAGAGACAGATGTCACCACAGCTGCTAATGAATTCATCTTTTTCTCCCCATTATTTATGATACTTGCGTCTTTTTGTTGTCTAGTTGGGTCACTGTCTAAATTTCAATAATAGTGAGAATAGGCAGCCTCTGTGAGGTTCACTTTAGCTGTGATGGTGGCTATGTGCTCCCTTAGAAAAATTCTAACTATTTTGAATATAAATTCTTCAAATTAACCAATCTTTTTTATTTTGAAGGAATACAAAATAGTGATAGAGAAAAACACATTAGAAATGATACAAGATTTCACTAAACAAAGTAATAGGAATTCAACACTGGTTGCTGCATGACATGATGCTATCTTTAAAATAGTTGTTCAGATTACCAGAATCAAACATGTAAGATTCATTTAGAGAAAGAAAAACAAACCAAAACAATAACAAATTATAAGAAATTTGAAAGAGAAAAAAAATCAGAGTTGAAATTTTTTAAGCATTATCTATTGCATTCAAAAGACTGCCAGAAACCGGCAGTACAATCATCCAAACTGTTCTGCATATATATAGTGTATATACTATATATAATATATCCCTATTTTCATTGGTCCTTTTCCTCACCCAGTTTTTCTTTCCTACTGCACAATTTCTTTCCCTTTCACAGCATCTGTTGCACCTTTTAGATTTTTGTTACTCTTTTCTTGGTTCTCACACTAGCGAGATCATATGATGTTTGCATGTGTGGATCTGATTTACTTCACTTACCAGTATAGTCTTTAGCTGAATCCTTTTATCTACAAAACCCTCAAATTTATCTTTTTTATAGCTGAATGAATAACGCTCCACTGTGTAAAAATACCATATTGTTTTTATCATTCCTCAGTTGGTAGGCATTTGGGTGGTTTTCAAGATTTAGCTGTGACAAATTGCACTGCTATAAACATGGTGCACATACGTCGCTGTGGTGTGATGATTTCCATTCTTTTGGAAAAATACCTCGGAGGGGAATAGTTGGCCTAAATGAGACCTCCAATCCTAGATTTCTGAAGAATCTCCATACTGATTTCCATAGTGGCAGTACCAGCTGCACTCCCACCAACAGTGGAGAAGGGTTCCTTTTTCCCCACATCCTCGTCAGCATTTGTTACTGGTTGACTTCTTGATGACAGCTGTTCTTTCTGGCATAAGATGGTATCTCAGCATTGTTTTAATTTGCATCTCTTGATTGTCCAATGATGTTGAACATTTTTTCATATATTTATTTGCCATTTGTATCTCTTCATTCATGAGGTGTATATTCATCTCAGATACCCATTTTTGGATCAAGTCTTTGAATTTTGTGGGCTTGAATTCTTAAAATTCTTTATGTTCTGGATAGGAGTCTTTTGTCTGATGGATAGTCTGCTACAATTGTCTCCCACTTTGTGAGTTTTCTTTTTAATCTGTTGATGATGTCTTTTGATGTGCAGAAACTTTTCAAAAAGATGAGATCCCAATTGTTGATTCCTCGAAGTATTTCTTTTGCAGTTTGATTTTTGTTCATGAACTTTTTACCTACCCCTAGGTCCTTAAAGTTTCTACCTACTTTCATTTCCAGAAGCTTTAGTGTTTCAGTTTTAATATTTCAATCTTTGACCCATTTTGACTGTGGTTTTGTGCCTAGTGATAGGCATGGGTCTGTTTTAATCCTTTGGCATGTGGAAAGCCAGTATGTCTAGTGCCACTTCTTTCTTTTTTCTTTTTTTTTGGTGGAATTGGGGATTGAACTCAGGCCCTTGCACTTTCCAGGGAAGCGCTTATTCCACTGAGCCATTTCTCTGGCCCCTCCAGCACCATTTCTTAAGGAAGCTATCTTCCAATGAACATGTTTGGCCCTTTTGTCAAAAATAAGGTGGCTGAGTGTGCTTGTAGCTGTGTCTACAACTTCTATTCTGTTCCATTGATCCTCAGGTCTGTTTTTATGCCAGTACCATGTTGATTTTATCACAATAGCTTTGTAGTATAATTTCAAGTCAGGCATTGTGATGCCTCTTGCCCTTTCTCTGTTGCTCAGGATTGATTTTTCTATTCTAGGTCTCTTCTGTTTCCAGATTAATTTTAGGAATATTTTTTCTAGATCTGTGATGTATGTTAATGGTATTTTAATTGGGATTGCATTGAATTTGTCTAACACCTTTGGGAGTATGGCCATTTTCACAATGTTGGTTCTTCCTATCCAGGAGTAAGAAACACCTTTCCATTTTCTGAAATCCTCTTTGATCTCTTTTTCAGAGTACTATAATTTTCACTGTGTAAGTCTTTTACTTCCTTTGTAAGACTGATTCCTAGGTATTTAATTTTGGGGGTGTTATTGTGAAAGGCATGTTTTCTATAATTTCTTTTTTGGTGCATTCATTGTGTATAGAGATGCTATTGATTTTTGAGTGCTAATTTTATATCCTGACACACTACTGAATTTGGTTATTAAGTCTACAAGTTCTTTCTTTTATTTTGTGGCTGAGCCCTGAGGGTGGGCCTGGCACAGCATGTGGTGCTGGGATTGAACTGTGGGCCCTGCACTTGCCTAAACTTGCCTACGCAGGTGCTTTAGACTGCTGAGCTAGCTCACTGGCCCCAATTCTACAAGTTCTTAATGGAATTTTTGGGGTCTTCTATGTACAGTATCATGTCATCTACAAATAATGATATTTTCCCTTCTTCCAATCATTATTCCTTTTATTCTTTTCTTTTGTCTAATTGCTCTGGCTAATGTTTCCAGAACTATATTGAACAGGAGTGGTGACCGTGGGCATCCTTGTCATGTTCCTGATTTTAAAGTGAAGGCTTTCATTTTTTGTCTATTCAGTCTAATGTTGGCTGTTGGTTTGTCATAGATGGCTTTTATCAGACTGAGATGAAGACCATCTATTCCTATTTTCTGTAGTGCTTTTATCATGAATGAGTGTTGGACATTGTCAAAATCTTTTTCTGCATCTATTGTGATGATCGTGTGATTTTTGTCTTTGGCTTTGTTGATGTGGTGTATTTCATTTATGGTTTTGCGTTTATGCATTCCTGGGATGAATCCCACTTGGTGGTGATATATAATCTTTCTGATGGCTTCGCTGCATTCTGTTTCCTAGTATTTTATTGAAGAGTTTTGCATTGATGTTCATTAGGGAGATTCGCCTGTAGTTCTCTTTTTTGGTTGGTTCCTTCTCTGTTTTTGGTATCAAAAACCTGAATGAGTTTGGGAGAACTGCTTCCCTTTCAACTTCATTGAAGTTTGAGGAGAGTTGGCATTAGGTCCTCCCTAAATTTCTTGTACAATTCAGCTGTGAAATCCATCAGAACATGGGCTTTTCTTCATTGGCAGGTTTTTTAAAAATTACATTTTCATTTTCACTGGCTGATATTGGGGGAATTACTCAGAATTTTTATATCTTAAT